GCAAGTCTAACACTGGTGAAGGTGGTGAGGATCCCGAGCGATCGGAGCGCTTGCCAAATGGTGACACTATGCGGTCTGCCATTAAGCAGGTTGCCTCCGGCCGTTTTGGTGTTACTTCCGCCTATCTAGCCGACTCTGATGAGCTTCAAATCAAGATGGCACAGGGTGCCAAGCCTGGCGAGGGCGGCGAGCTTCCTGGTCACAAGGTCTCCAAGTCTATTGCTCGCACCCGTCACTCTACTCCTGGTGTCGGCCTCATTTCTCCTCCTCCCCACCACGATATTTACTCTATTGAAGACCTCAAGCAGCTCATCTACGATTTGAAGTGTTCTAGCCCACGATCACGAGTCTCCGTCAAGCTCGTCTCCGAGGTTGGTGTAGGTATCGTTGCCTCTGGTGTGGCCAAGGCCAAGGCTGACCATATCCTCATTTCTGGACACGATGGTGGTACTGGTGCCTCTCGATGGACTGGTATCAAGTACGCTGGTCTCCCTTGGGAATTGGGTCTGGCCGAAACCCACCAGACCTTGGTCTTGAACGACCTCCGTGGCCGAGTTGTTGTCCAGACCGATGGTCAGCTAAGGACCGGACGTGATGTTGCCATTGCTTGTTTGCTCGGTGCTGAGGAATGGGGCTTTGCCACTGCGCCTCTCATTGCAATGGGCTGCATCTTCATGCGCAAGTGCCATTTGAATACCTGCCCTGTTGGCATCGCCACTCAAGACCCTGAGCTGCGAAAGAAGTTCCAGGGAACGCCTGAGCATGTCATCAACTTCTTCTACTACATTGCCAATGAGCTTCGAGCCATCATGGCTCAGCTGGGTTTCCGTACCATTAATGAAATGGTGGGCCACGTCGAACTCCTCAAGATGCGTGATGATCTCCGCACGCACAAGACTGCTAATATTGACTTGTCGTTGCTCCTGACACCTGCTCATAAACTTCGACCTGGTGTGGCTACTTTCAACGTCCGAAAGCAAGATCACAAGCTTTATGTTCGCCTCGACAACAAGCTCATCTCAGAAGCTGAGTTGACTCTTGACAAGGGTCTCCCATCCCGAATCGAATGTGACATTGTCAACACTGACCGAGCGATGGGTACGTCGCTATCGTATCAGATTTCCAAGAGATATGGCGAGGCTGGCTTGCCTATGGACACTGTTCACGTCAACATCAAGGGTTCTGCAGGTCAGTCCTTCGGCGCTTTCCTCGCACCTGGCGTCACACTGGAACTCGAGGGTGATGCCAACGACTATGTCGGTAAGGGTCTTTCTGGTGGTCGTTTGATCGTCTACCCTCCTCGTAATGCCGTTTTCAAGGCCGAAGAAAATATTCTGGTTGGCAACGTCTGTCTCTACGGTGCCACCACTGGAACTTGCTTTTTCCGCGGTATTGCTGCTGAGCGATTCGCCGTCCGCAACTCTGGTGCTACGGCAGTCGTTGAAGGTGTTGGTGACCATGGTTGTGAGTACATGACTGGTGGCCGTGTTGTCATTCTGGGACGTACTGGACGCAACTTTGCTGCTGGTATGTCTGGTGGTATTGCCTACGTGCTCGATATCCACAGCGACTTCCAATCCAAGCTCAATACAGAAATGGTTGAGGCTGGACCGATAACGGACCCCTCTGAAATTGCCTTTGTCCGTGGCCTCATCGAGGATCACCACCACTACACTGGATCCGAGCTTGCTGCCCGTATTTTGGTTGACTTCAACCGTGCCCTCCCTCGCTTTGTCAAGGTCCTTCCTGTTGACTACAAGCGGGTCCTGGAGGAGGAGGCTGCCAAAGCTGCTGAGGCTAAGCGTGCTGAGTACAACCTCCCCGTTGTTTCTGGAGTGAAGCACAAGAAGGAAGAGAAGGCTGCCAAGTTGCAGGATTTGGAGGAGGCTATTGGTGATGCCAAGGCCGAAAAGAAGAGAGCTTTGGTGCTTGACAAGACTAAGGGCTTCATGAAGTATGCTCGCCGCTCTGAGAAGTACCGCTCTGCTTCGACCCGAACTAAAGATTGGGCTGAACTCAGCTCTCGTCTTGACGAGGATGAGCTCAAGTATCAGTCAGCCCGTTGCATGGACTGTGGCGTTCCGTTCTGCCAGTCTGAGACGGGATGCCCAATCTCCAATATCATTCCCAAGTGGAATGAGCTGGTCTTCAGCAACCAGTGGAAGGATGCTCTTAACCGCCTTCTTATGACCAACAACTTCCCCGAGTTCACCGGGCGTGTGTGCCCTGCTCCTTGCGAGGGAGCCTGTGTCTTGGGCATCAATGAAGATCCCGTCGGTATCAAGTCTATCGAATGCGCCATCATTGACCGTGGTTTCGAGATGGGCTGGATGGTCCCCCGCCCCCCTGAGATTCGCACCGGCAAAAACATTGCCATTATTGGTTCTGGTCCCGCTGGTCTTGCTGCGGCCGATCAGCTCAACCGTGCTGGCCACAGTGTCACTGTCTACGAGCGTGCCGACCGTCTTGGTGGCCTCTTGATGTATGGTATCCCCAACATGAAGCTTGATAAGCGCATCGTCAAGCGCCGTACCGACTTTATGGCCGCGGAGGGCATAAACTTCAAAACAGGCGTTGCCGTCGGTGAGGAGGGTCAGCCGTCACTGTCTGACCTTCGCGCAAGTAACGACGCCGTAATCATTGCTACTGGTGCCACGGTCGCCCGTGATCTGCCTATTAAGGGCCGTGAGCTGGGCGGCATCCATTACGCCATGGAATTCCTGCACAAGAACACCAAGTCTCTCCTAGACTCGGAGCTCGTCGACAATGCGTACATCTCTGCCAAAGACAAGCATGTTGTTGTCATTGGTGGTGGTGACACTGGTAACGACTGCATTGGTACATCGGTTCGTCACGGTGCAAAGTCGGTCACCAACTTCGAGCTGCTGCCTCAACCTCCTCCCAAGCGAGCTAGCGATAACCCTTGGCCCCAATGGCCCCGCATCTATCGCGTTGACTACGGTCATACGGAGGTTCGCCAGCACACTGGCAAGGACCCCCGAGAGTACTGCATCATGTCCGAGGAGTTTGTCGATGATGGCAGCGGCAAGGTCAAGGGTATCAACACCATTCGTGTGGAGTGGACCAAGTCTCCTAGTGGTGGTTGGGACATGAAGAAGGTCGAGGGGTCTCAGCAGTTTTTCCCTGCTGACCTCGTCCTCTTGGCCATGGGTTTCTTGGGACCCGAGGCCCGTGTTCTGGGAGACGAGATTGAAAAGGACGCTCGCAAGAATGTAAAGACGCCTGCCGGCAAGTACTGCACCAATGTAGAGGGTGTCTTTGCTGCCGGCGATGCCCGTCGTGGACAGTCTCTCATTGTTTGGTAAGTCTCGTGTTCTTTTCCATGAATGGTTTGGATTGCTTTGCTAACATTCATTGCGTAGGGGTATCAATGAAGGCCGCATGGCTGCTCGCGAGGTTGATTTGTACCTTGAAAAGAGCACTAACCTTCCCGTTACTGGTGGTATCGTGAAGCGCACCGCTCAGGAGGTTCTGGGCCGTGTCGCCGAAGTCAACTAAAGATTGGAACTACTTCATTTTAGTGGAGCTTTGAGGCACTTTTTTTTTCAAAATGATGATTTATGGTTATGTTTTGCTTGTTCCTGTGTATGATGGCATTGATACCACAAGACGCAGCTGACCTCGGGGTATGAGAAGGATGTTTTACATTGATGATGGAGCACGTATATAATGAGTACATGGCGATTTTACGTATATATAGCCTGTTGAACCAACCGCTTTCCTAACCCCTATGCGATGTTGTAGTTCTGTACGCCAAGGGCTGCCCTGTGCAGCAATCCTATTCTGGCAAGATGTGTTCGATAATCGCTAACCATGACAGTAATTTCCTGTATTGTATAATCATATCGACATGAATACATACGTGCCTAATGGGAGAATTCCTCCCCTCCCAATCCTTGCACCTGCATGTGCCGATGTGCTCATGTACTCACGTCATGCGGGAGGCCCAATATGCCGAGTTTCTGATGCTTATTTCTCACATATGACATGCAGCATTCCGATTCAATGGAAAGAATTGTGGTCAACCATTGTGGTAGGGCAAATTTTTTCCCCCTGAAGCTGACGGGGTCAGCTGCACGTGCTGCCATTTTCAGCACATTCCAACACTGTAATACGAACTGAAGTGGCGGCGGGACCGATCAGAAGATAGAGTTTAATAGCAGGGGTAAGCAAGAGTAGAAGGAGATAGTTGAGACTGGGTGATGAGCTACTGAATGGAGGGACTAACAAAGGAACTGAGCTTCACTTGTCGCAGCGGGAGGTTGAGGGCTGGCGGTATGGCCACTTCGGAATCCTACCAGGCGCATGTTCCCGGGTGAGTGAGAGCGAGGTTGATTATGATCTGATGAAGATGGCATGAGCATGGGTTGATGACATGTGTTGGCCGATGCATCAGAGCCACGCATCACGGTGCACAAGAGCGAGAGGGCTGGCAGAGCTGGCAGAGCTTGACCCCAGGGAGCACGTGCCGCCTCCATGACGTTGATAGGAGCTGTTCCAGTGGTTCAATATCCCCCGGCGGCCCAGGGTTCCTCCCAGGTGGGTTCCCCGGTGCTATATTGAAAGAGTGTGGTGGGGTCTGGTCCCCGTCTGGGTTCAATGTTTCCCTGCTTCCCAACCTCCAACCGAACCAAGCAGCAGGGCAACGTTGATGGGTCACCCAGCTGTCTAGACTGTGACGATAGCTGGTCCCAGTATTAGCAGACCGTTGTAATCTTGTCTAGTCGGGGTGGAGGTGAGGCTTTTCGCTAAAATTTTCTCTTGCCAACTGTTTTAATTCTAGGCAGGCGCGCTCTCACTCACTCTCTCTGCGTCTGCTGCGTTTGACTTTGGGGCTGGTGTGACGGTAGCACCTCTCTAGAGAGACGGCCTTAGCACACCTCATCAATTGCTCCTTGAAGACTCGTCGCCATTGACAGCCCCTCCTCCCTCTCCCCCCTCTCCGAGCCGACCAACACCCGCGAGCACGACACGACACGATGCGGTTCGGCAAGACTCTGCGCGAGGCCGTCTACAAACCATGGAAGGACAAGTACATCGACTATGGCAAGCTCAAGACCTTGCTGCACGAGGACAAGTTCAATGACGATACTGTGCCGTGGACCGAGGACGACGAGAACCGCTTTTGCGACGAGATCTTCAATGTCCAGCTTGAGAAGGTCGCACGCTTCCAGCAGGAGCGTTTCGATGCCCTCAAGCAGCGGGTCGACGCTGCCTTTGAGAAGCTCAAGGAGCTGTCGCCGGCTGAAGGCGACAAGCCTGCCACACGTACAAAGGAAGAGACGTCCAAGTTGAAGGAGCTGGAGAAGGAGCTTGACAACATCACCAACGAAGTCAAGGAGCTCAAGAAGTACAGCAGCATCAATTACACTGGATTCTTGAAGATCGTCAAGAAGCATGACCGCAAGCGGGGGGACCGATACAAGGTCCGTCCCATGATGCAGCTCAGTCTGTCGCAGCGACCATTCAATTCGGAGCAGGGCTACTCGCCATTGCTGAACAAACTGTCCATCATGTACTTTGCTATTCGACAGCAACTCGAAGGTGCCTCTGCGGAGCAGACCGTGCTGAATTTGGATACCCAGGGAGAGACGCATAATGGGGAGCGGTATACTGCTCACAAGTGTAGGTGGAACTATTGACTTGAGGCTGGAGCCCTCTGTTTGTCCAACGTATGCTGACCAAAGTCACACACAAAGTCTGGGTCCATCCCGATAACTTACTCGAGGTCAAGACGTTGATTCTTCGCCGACTCCCCGCTCTTGTGTACAGCGACCAGGCATCCAAGGAGGTCGATGGCAATGACTCGCCTGCCATTACCTCCCTCTATTTCGACAATAAAAAGTTTGAACTCTACTCCGACAAAGTTGACCGTCAGTCGGAGACGACGTCTTCTCTCCGATTGCGTTGGTACGGCCAGCTGAATACCCGGCCCGAAATATTCGTGGAGCAGAAGGCCGCCGATGCTTCCGGTAACAGTGAGGAGCACAAGTTCACCATCAAGGACAAATACGTCAAGCCGTTTATTGATGGAGAATATGCTATGGAGAAGGCTGTGCAAAAAATGGAGCGCCAAGGCCAGCCCGAGGAGAAGATTGAAAGCTACAAGGCAACTGTGGCCAAGATACAGGACTTTGTCAAGGAGAGGCGGCTGTCTCCGGTCTTGAGAGCAAACTACGCTCGAACGGCCTTCCAGAAGCCTCTGGACGATCGCGTCCGCATCTCCATTGATACGAATCTCGCATTCATCCGAGAAGATACTCTCGACTCTGAACGTCCCTGCCGTGACCCGAAAGACTGGCACCGAGCCGATATCGACAACAGCAGCATGACGTATCCGTTCCGAAACATCAACCAGAGCGAGGTTTCCAAGTTCCCGTTCGCCGTGCTAGATATCAAACTCAAGGAAGATAGCAATCGTAAGCGACCCGCGTGGATCGAGGATCTCATGGCCTCCCATCTTGTTCACCCGGCACCGAGGTTCTCCAAGTTTGTCCATGGTGTTGCCTCGCTGTTCGAAGACCATGTGAACAACCTGCCTTTTTGGCTCAGTGATCTCGAGATGGACATTCGCAAGGATCCTCAGACGGCGTTCGAACAAGAGGAGCAGAGACGAGCCCAGAGGGCCGACGACGCAATTGCCGTGGGCAGCTTGATTGGCACAGTACCCAGCTCGTATAGGGCCGCGCAGAGCTCGCCCGTGGGCAAGTCGTATTTGGCTGACAGAATGGCTGCAGACTCCAAGGCAGCCTTGTCCACTTCCCTTCGGAGGAAGAGCGGCATTACCAATGGCGAAGAAGAGGGCGAATCCAGCAACTCCCCACAGCAGCTAGAAGAACAAACACAGAGCAGTGGAGGCTACGGTACCTTGTCATCTGTGCTGCCCGGTCTCTCGCTGTCCAAGTATGCCAAGGCTAAACGTGCCCAAAAGGCGCGGCTTCCCGAGGGTGTTGTTGAGCCAAAGCAATGGATCAAAAACATGGGCGAGCTGAAGGTCGAACCCAAAGTATGGCTGGCGAATGAGAGAACATTTCTCAAGTGGCAGAATATTGCCATTCTCCAGGGCAGTCTGGCCTTGGCACTTTACACAGCAGCTGGCGAAAGCTTGCTTGCAGAGACGATGGGCATTGTCTACGTGATCATTGCGGCGTTTGCAGGACTCTGGGGCTACTATATGCATCAGGTACGGAGAGAAATGATTGTGGAGAGAAGCGGAAAGGACTTTGATAATATACTTGGGCCAATGATAATTAGTGTTGCGCTGATGGTGGCGCTTATTGTGAATTTTGTGTTACAGGTGAGTATTTCACATGAAACGCACATCTTTTGGCGGCCGGAGGTGTTGTTCAACTGACTGACCATCTCCTTGTAGTACCAGAAGGCGTTTTCAAAGTTGGACCGCGGTAACCATAGCACGGGCGTGATCTCAGAAGAGCTAAGGTGACTGGGGCCGGGTGCTGCTTTGCGGCGGAACAAGAGATCCGTGGAGCAATGCATTGTGCGCAGGGGAACTCGATGCACACGTTATGGGGAGTCGAAGTCAGGCCTGTGCTTTTGAGAGCTGCTGGCTGTATAAGATGAAGCTTTTTGGACAGGCCTGTATCTATAATTGAACGTGTTGCAAGTAACAGGAAGAAGAAGGATTCGTTGAAAGCATGATTTTTGGGTTGAAGCACTTTGTATAGTTTGGAATCGCCAATTGAATAGCTGGACAATGGAGTCTTGAAACGTTCTGGAGCCAAACTTTCCTTGACCATTGAACGGACGCGAACGACACGACGACAATACGACTCGGTCATGCGACAGTGAAACATGCTTGAGCGGGCGGATGCTTCTCCAGTGCAGTACTTGAAGACGGAGTACGGGGTATTGACGAGGCGGCCAGTCAGATTCGCATAGGGAGGATTCTTGGTCAACAAGTGCTTCTTGAGCTAAAAGTTCGAATACAAATTCGAACAAGTTTGTTGGTGCACGCATCTGCATTGCGTAAGAAGCATGTTGACGTGGTCCATAATTTAGCCAACGGCAACCCATCCTTTGCAGGAGGGATGTTGTTGGCGATTGGTCGTGGGCGAGAGCTGCAGCGCTGGCCCCCCTTTCAAACGTTCCTTCTTTCCCCCAACCTCGTGCTGTGTGCTCTCCATGTCAAGTCTGGTTTATGTACCAGACAGATCCAACCAGCCTCCTCGCGGGCTTATCCGGATCCCCAAAACGACACATGCCGATTCTTCGTCCTTCCTGCATGAAGAGTTGACTGTCGACTTCTGGGCGTTCTGATTGTCTTTTTGTTTTCTTGCTTACTTTTCATACTCTGGTCATTGTTTGTTGCGGGTCGAAGGCTTACCGCTATTGTTCTTGGACCATGAGCATAATAGGGTAATGCGGCTATCTGATGCCTGCTCATTACTCTCGTTCTTTTGCTTTTCTTTTTTTGTTACACGACCAAGCGAAGCACTGACTGGGGTTGTTATTCATGCGAGCATGAAATTGGGTATATTTGTCAGATATTAGGTGGCACTGCCTTTTGGTCGCCACAAGAAGCCGATATTCTTGCAACAAGCAATTGGCACACGCCTACGAGTCCATGAGCGATTTGACTCGGTATTTCACCTATTTCAATATCTTTTCTAAAGGCAAGGAAAGATTGGCAACAGAGTACGATATCGGAAACCACAGCGGAGCGTGGCGCCGGAGCCGTGAGTCGGAGTCATTGCGCGTTGCGCCCCATGAGTTGAGCGCGTGCGGGACTGTTTTGAAGGCGACCTCGTGCTCCTTTCCGATGCCAAGATGGATGATGAAAAGGGGACCACGAAAAAGAAGAAGGGATTCTTTAGCGGTATTTTGCGCACAAAAAGCCTGGCGTCACGGGGGCTGAAGGCATTTCGGGATCGGGGCGGTTCGCCCTCGAACGGCGATAAGCTGAAGCAGGATAAGACGACGACGACGACGACGACGAGACAGGCACCGCCTGACCAAGCGCCAGCGAAGGTAAGAAATGTACAAAGAAGAGAGTACGGTAATGGGGTTGAGATGCAGCGCAGGGTCAATGGCAATGAGGCGCCGCGACGGCCCAAGATTGATGCCGGGCAGCGAAATGGAGGTGACGCGCCACGACGGGTCATAATCGACGACACACCCCGGAACGGAGAAGAACATTCATCGCGGAAAGTGAACGGGAACAGTAGCATACCGCGCAAGAACACCCGGACGAGTAAACATACGGCCGCGCCGTTGGCAGATGACCCAATGCCATCTTCGAGAAGACGGCCTCGACGACCGAAACCTGAACCAGAAGGTGATGACGGACATGCTGATCCAAAGGACAGACAGAGCAGGAAGACTTTTGGGGAGGATAGAGTTGAAACGCCTCCGCCGCCGACATTAACAGAATGGCCTCCCCCGGGACTGTCCAACGGTGACGAATTAACGCCTCAGCATGCTATGGAGCTTGTTACCCGGGGGGCACCGTTACATAAAGGACACAGAAGGGCCATCCCACATGCACCGGACTATTATTACGCTCTGTACTCGACAACTTCGAGTAGTCGATCCGACGACACTGATGCCATGAGCCTCCACGACTCCATGACACCACTCATGACGCTTCGTCTCCAAGGTCCAGGACGACCGGCCACGCCCTGGGAGTCCCTAGAGCAACCCAGCTGCGCATTCCTTTATGGTCAACGACCTGGAACTATAACCCTAAACCATTGGGTGTCAATATCCTCTTCGCTCCCGCCGACCATTGCCCTCCGAGACTCAGGCGTCCTCCCCCGCAACATGGGCCTATCTCACATCCTAGAGCGTCTAAAGGAGCTTCAGGCGGGACTGGAAGACGACGATGAAGGCCTACTTTATAGGATACTGTACAAAAGAATCCTCCGTGACCCGGAACGCATTCTAAACCCCCACAAAACACTTGACAAACAAATCACGGATTTATTGCTCGTCCTGTCACGGCCCGACTGGATTGATTTCACGGAGCCCAAGAACCAGGTCGTTACGCGATTCATATTCAACCCCGAGGAAATCAACCCGGACGTATATCGCAAGTTTTTCCATCAGCTGCTTCTGAGCCTCGAGCTGGAGTTGAGAATACATTCGAGAAGCCATGGAGAATGGGCAAGGGAGAGGCTGTTGGGCCAGATTCCGCCAACTATACGGTGGAATTTGGCGCTGGCGAGGAGGTGGAGGGAACATGTGAGGGTGGATGGATTTGGGTCAATGCCTGAGCAGAGTGAGTTTGTATCTTTGTTCCATGTCGCCTTTGGCCTTTGCCCCCTTTCCTTTGGTTTACCTTAATTTCTCTGTTTCATGCTCAATATGTTGTCATTGGTGCTAATGGGTTTTTAGCAAATCTGCGGTACAAGTTAAAGAAGCGGCAGGTCAAGGTTCTCAAACGGTTTGCGCAGGCAATGAAGTGGCCGAATTTGGATCCTACCATGGAGAATCTGAGAGTTCATGACGAAGAGTTTCGACTTGATTCGATTAGTTCGGATGCGTTTGCGTTCTTTAGCGGTCTTGTACTGCCAGGGGTGAGATGTCTTCACACGCCTTTTTCTTTACGACAGCATTAGAAACTCATCAACTGACACTACGACAGCCTACATTCCCATTTCTCATTATGAACACCCTCATTGACCTCGACCCCGACTCCGGCACCGACGAGCTTGCTCTCCTCTCTCATATCAACCCCCAATGCGGCTTCCAGTATTGTAATAGTCATACGTACTGGTCGGCAAGCTGCATTGTCGGCAAAGTCATCGCCCCGACATGCTGTTGCGTAGCTGGCTGGGTCGGCCCAGGACGCCCAACCTTGGACCTCGGTCGGTCCCAGATCGCACGCATTCGCACGCGGCGGCCCAAACAAATGGATCGCCGCATAGGCCCCGAAGACGTTGAGAGCATGAAGGAGAGATCCGACCCTCTGGGCCCCGCGGCTCAGTCCTACCCGGTGGACGAATACACCCTCGTCGTCCCCGACGAGGACTCCTTCGCCGTCGACACGGTCCGTATCGAACTCCTGGGCTTCAAGCCTGTCGTCGCAATGGAAGAAGACACAATTGCCAACCCCGGCCCGCGGGTCTTCGATGCCACGGTGCAATTTGCCATAGACGGCATGTCCTGGCCGCTGAGACTCATGTACGACGTCTCCTTTGTAACCGCCTGGCCGTGCTCGCTGCCTCCACACCCGCTGTTCTTTGACTACGTCTACCGCGTCGTCAAGGCGGATGAGGTGGTGCGCGTCCGGGACTGGGGAGGGTTGTATTACAAAAGTCTGAGGAGTGGCTCCGCTAGCGCGCGGTCCAGCCCTGCGCCGCCGTTCTACAACATGGGATACGATGACGAGTTCGACTTCATTGACGACGATGGGGACGACGAGAAAGTGCTCGTGGTGGAGGCATATGGCGTGGCGGATAATGAGGTTCTGGCTAGAGCTTGGTGCTCACACTGGGGACTGAGTGCAGTGGTGGCTGATATACGAAAGACGTGGTGAGTTTTTGCTCTGATTGCTTGCTTGTCAATTCCATTTCGAAGCTATCGAGTGACGGGAATAGAGTTGCTGACTTGGGCGATAGCATGGCTTGTGCCATTCGAGAAGCATATGCTGCTACTATCACGGTGGTAATTATGGTTGATTCGCGGTATGATGGGGATGCGGAGGCGTGAACCGACGGGAGACGGAGGCCATGATTGAACGAATGAATGATGAAGCGTATCTGTAGTAATATTACTAGCTCTACGGATTAAATGTACCTGATTTAAAGGTCATGTGAACATGTGCTTTTTTTTTTTTTTTTTTTTTTTTTGATAAGGTATGGATTTACCTGGGTTGTTTTTGGGCCTTGGGTAGTTCAAGGAGACCCCGACCCCTTCGTGTTGGTGTAGGTCATACTAGCTGGTCTGGTGGCCAAAAATTGCCGGGTGCAGCCCACTGGCGTATCCCTTTAATTGTGTTGAGGCTCCAGTGGGGTTGGAGAGGTTCGGTGACGGAAGCCGTGCCGTCAATCTCTCCATCTCCAAAACTGCCCCCTGTTCAGTCCTCACGTACAGAGTAAAATCCGGGACAATTGATAATCTTGCCACTGGAAAATGCTGTCCAGTCGCGGATATCTGCATGGCGAGAGAGGTCTGTGCTCGGGCGGCAATAGACTGTCATTCAATGGCGATCCCAAGTCTGAGACCATGGCAGTCGTTTTCAACAGCGGCGAACCCATTGGCCGCAATCGGAGGATCAAGTAGAGCATGAAAACTTTCTAGACAGACCAGTTGACACCTTCGACTTGGTTGCTTGGGTGCCTACCTACTTACTGTAAGTACCAACCTACCTACAACAGTACTTACCTAGGTAGTGGCCCGGACTGTCCACTTGCAAAACTTGGCACCACGAAAACATCTTCGTTCATGTCGGCAAGTCTCAGATGATCGCTGAGAGTAGTCGGCTTCCCCGGCCCCAGAATTTTGTGACCCGCTGGGCCGCTGGTGGTGGGGCGGCCTGCAGAAGGGTTGGGGGGCCTTGTTCAGGGCTTTTCCAGGGCTGCACAGGGCCGGATTGGCGGTGGTAGTTCGCTATGATGGTTCAATGTTTCAATTCCGGATGGTTTCGGGTCAACGGTGGCTTCCGGCGCTCCATGTCGGGACTCCCCTGGCCGGCAACCGCGACTCAGAACATGTCAATTAATCCATCAGTACTCCGTAAGGAAGGACCAAGTAAGCTGTGATCTACACCGGAGTAGCTCTCTCTGGGTTTCTGCCCCAGTGCCGTCATTGTCCTCCACTCGACCATGAGAAAGAATCAGCCAGACCCAGAGTAATGCTGTTGACCCTTTAAATCTCGTCCATCCAGGTTATCCGCCAGCAAAACCCAAACTGCATTCGTCACACCTCTCTCCCCCATCCTTTGCGTCCGAACCGCACGAAGCGTCTGAATCACCTCTGTTCCGCCCCTCACTCTCACACCCTCCCCCAGCCAACAACGTGGTGGTGGTCTTGCATTCTTCCGCGCCCATCCGCCATACATGCCACAAGTCGAGGCGAAATCAGCCACCAAATTCTCAGTCTAGCAAGACGCAGCCAAGTCCCTTCTCGGTTCGGTGTGCGGAGTATCTCGGCGAAGTCAGAAGGCTGCCGACGGGCGAGGAACAAGCAAGCATAGAACCACGGAGTTCTATTTGCACAGACGACGCAGCTCCAATCCATCTGGAACGCCACCGATTGCCACCCTCCCGCTTGTCACCCAGAAGCTGTTGAGCTTGAGCTTGCTCGATTGGGACAAATCATGTACGCGTACAATAAGCCCATCAAGGCCATGGAGTGAGTCTCGACCGCTGTTTGCTGCCCTCCCAACCTGCTACATCTTCTTCGACATCTCTTCATTGTTCGAGCTTCTTAATGATCAACTGGGAATTTTCACCAGTTATACGTTACTAGTCTGGACACTCTTGTACTGTAGAAGCTTCCGCTATGGACACTTCAGCTACTCGAATCGTTAATACTGACGGATTGCCACCCGTGAGCAGGCCGCCCAGTGTCTCGGTAATTGCCCCTCTTCTAATCCAACAGCTTCTACTACTAGGGCTTGCTGCTTTCTGTAGCTTCAGCCTGCATTTGCGGATGTTGAGAAGAGCTCAAATATTGCAGATTGACGACTTGAAGAAGCTAGTCTCGGGAGCATCACGAATAGTCGACTAACATGGGTTGCTTACATAGGACTATTACATTGGGGTAGACGTTGGTACTGGCTCTGCCCGTGCTTGTATCATTGACGAAACTGGCGATATTAAAGCATTGGCGTCGGAAAACATTAAGCTGTGGCAGCCCGAAACGGGATACTATGTATGAGATCCTGCCTCTTCCCCCCCCCCCCCCCCCCCCCCCCTTTTTTCCCCCCACTCACACACCTCCAGGAGCCGCCCCACCGCCA